CTTAAGAACTTACCAATACTCACCAATTGGGTGAAGGTATTTTGTGCCGTGACTTCACCGAAAAAGGAATAACAATATGGTAAAATCTATACTATGATAAATTATATTGCAATAAACGCATTATACAGAGAATGTTAAACAACCAAAAAAGGAAATTAAATTCCTAATAAAATTCTATGGGGATTATTCGATGAATAAAGTTTAATGCACATTGACACTTGATATTCTAGAATAAAAGATAATTAATTCTTTTTATGTATGTATTTGTTATTTTAATTTTTGTTTATCATTAAATCAATTACTTAATAAATAATAATTTATGAAAAATTTTACAATTGTACCAACATGAACATCTGAATATGTAACATAGTACGATTACGAGATTTATGGTAATACAATTGGAATGATCTTAGAACGTTGTAATTAGACTATTTATTAAAGGCGTGTTTGAATAAAATTTAAGATTATGTATTAGGGTCAGGGTTAAGGATTGGTTAAAGTTAAGGTTAGGGTTGCTTATGTCGGTATTGGTTATTCATAGTTCCTGTGTAGCACGATAATAACTGTACTATAAGTGATTTTCTAAATTACACAATCGTACTATACTGATTTGCTATATTATATTACGGGAAAAATCATTATGATTATTACTTTTCTCTAAAAGGAATTGTTTTGCACGGGAATTTCAATTTTATTAAATATAACATTTTATAATTGTTGAAAAGTTCATATATTAATTGTATATATTAACAGCTATTTATGAATTATATGATAAATAAAAGAATTGAACTAATTTGCAAACCAATTTTTGTTTATTAATGACTGATTAAATTTAAATTTAATCTTATCTAAACTAATAACAAAAATTCACATCAAATCATCCAATAATCAACATAAATATTTTTGAATAAAGTAATCCTTTTCAATTTTCTTTGAAAAAGAAATTTATAATGGATCTGTAGGTGTAGTTCTGAAAATTTTTTGATGAAAATATAGTTAAAATGACCTTTCCATTAAAAACGGTAAGTGACATGACATAACTTTTGTAAAAAAAAAGATACCAGCTAGTTTAGTGCTAATGGAATTCAATAACATCCCTCCAAAATACATTTGCATTGACATTTATCTCTTCCCTTTGTTAATATTTGTTCTCATGACAAATTGTACCATATTTGAATTCTTTGAGAACAATTCGAATACTTTCACATTTCAATTTATCAAAGTTCAGATAATTGGAAAATAAAAAGAAACACGGGATATATTTTATATTATTTTGTCTAAATTATTATCGTATTTTTTTATTTTGTGTGGTATAGAGAATAAAGAATTGAATGAATAATCAATTTCATTTAATTGATAAAACATAAAATACAAATAAATAGATAAAATAAATAAATAATAATCAAGCAACAAAATATAATTATTTAACGAAGGTTCTTAAAAAAAACTTAAAAAAAGTCATATCAAATTATCTTTTTTATTTTTTAATATTTAATTATATCCAATTACTTGCCCTTCATCAAACAAACTAAACTCAGACAAACCATCATTTGCTTGCCCTTCAAACACAGTGGTAGCATCAAGAAGTTCCGGAAATTCCGGAGATTCCGGAACTTATATGTTATTATTTATATGGTTCTTATTATCAACAATCATCTATCTCCATATCAAATGACTGTTCTGATGTTTGATATCTAGGAGATGAAGATTCAGAAAATGAATAGACAATTCTTGATGTTGATCAAATGAATGTTGAGATTGATTAATTGGGAGTAAAGGTTGTTGCAAAGGTTGTTACAAAGGTTGTTGCAAATATTGTTGCCCAAGCCACATATCTTCCAATCGTAAAGGCTGAGCATGAACATCAGAAAATCCATAAGCTGATAAATGTGGTTGATGTGGTTGATGTGGTTGAAATTGATATGGTTGAGGTTGTTGATGTGGTTGAGGTTGATATGGTTGAGGTTGTTGATGTGGCTGTTGTTGATGTAGTTGCTGTTGATGTAGAGGTTCAAACACACCAGTTGAATCAAGATTTTCTTTCTTAATATTAGGTTTTACTGCAGTTAATTTTTTTCTTCGTGATTTATCATTTTTATTTGTGTCTTCGGTGTTTTCGTTTCGTGGTTTTTCTATAAAATTTCGAGAATATCGAAGTTAAGAAAATAATCATTATGAAATACAATAAGGGATTATTAAACAATAATTTTTATTTACTTGGAGTATTGGCTTTAAATCCTTCTTTTCCGTATCTTATTTTGAACAATTTACACGCACTTTTAGACAAGGCAGCATAATAATCCTTAACTTCTTGAGGTTCATTTCTCCATTGTTCAGAAATATAAGGAGAAATTGACGTTTGATCATTTTTCTGTTCTTCTCTCTCCAAACACATGGTGTACCATTTTCTGTATATAAAGAATTTATTCGGTACTTTCCTTTTATCACAAGTTAAATTTCTGGGTTCTATTATATCCTTTACAGTTAATCTTGGAGGGAACGGAACATAAGTAAGACGCACGATCTTTTGATTCGGTTTCGCATTTCGTTGTGATTTTTTAGTTCCACCATTCACTTTAATACCAATTTCAGAAGTTTCAATGATGATATCAAAGTTATTATTTTTCGGTGTTTCAATAACTTCATATCTTGGGGAAGATAACGGTTCAGACATAATTGAAATAATTGTCAATTTTAACGTACTTTCTAGGAAGTGGATATCTTTTATTTTTTTATAAATTTCCTTTTAGCAAAATGGAAATTAAAAAATAATTGGAAGCAATGTGGAGATTTATATAATTTTTGTATTTAATAACGTTTTAATATTAACAATAATATAAATTATATTTCAATAACGCATTCACATTATACGGAGAATGTTAAACAAACCAAAAAAGGAAATTAAATTCCGAATAGAATTCTATTTGGATTGTTCGATAAATAAAGTTTTGGCACTTTGATTATATTTTTTCATATTCTAGAATAAAAAACAATTAATTCTTTATATGCATGTATTAGTTATTTTAATTTTTGTTTTATCATTAACATAATGAATAATAATTTATATTTATTGTACCTCAAAACCCAACGTGAACACGAATATGAAACAGGAGTTTCAGAAATTAGTATAGTACGATATTACAAATTACGATTTACGGTAGTATAATTGAGAACGTTGTAATTTTTATTAAAGGCCGTTTATGATAAAATTTAAGATTATGGATTAGGGGTCAGGGTTACAAGGTTAGGTCATGTCGGGATTGCTTATTACTGTACTTTGGCTTTTTTTTGATACTTTATTCTTATAGTTCCTCGATAATAATCGTACTAATATAGTACTAAGTGATTTTCTATACATACTAAATTGCACAATCGTACTATACTGATTTGCTATATTACCAGGAAAAAAATCATTATGATTATTACTTTTCTCTAAAAGGAATTGTTTTGCGCGGAAATTTCATTTTCATTAAATATAGCATTTTATAATTATTGAAAAGTTCATATATTAATTGTATATATTAACAGTCATTTATGAATTATATGGTAAATAAAAGATTTGAACTAATTTGCAAAACCATTTTTGTTTTATTAAATGCTAATAAAACTTTCAATATTATTTATTACACGTGCTAATTTTCTCATACACTGGCTGGTCACATTTAAATTTAATCTTATCCAAAACCAATAACAAAAGATTCACTTCTACCAAATCATCCATTCCATATCTATCATCATTTCCAAAAATAGAACCCTTCCCGTCGATCACTTGTACCAAATATTTCCACAGTAGAGAAATACGATTTTTCACTGTAGTTACATATAAAACTT